ATAAATCAGGTAAGTGAAGGGGGAGCAGGGAGGCATAGGTGAGCAGATCTGAGTATAATCTTAAGTACACATTATGCTAGCTTCAGTGCATGCCGTAAGTGTTATTTTTCATTTATAAGCAACTTTTGAAATGGCATTGCGTGGTTTTCTGAAGATATCCTGTTCCGAGCCTCCGGTGGTAGCCCATGAACTACTGCAGATTGGTTCCTGTGTCTGCGCCACCCTTTGGCTAATGTACATGCTTATTGGTGTGGTCAGAGCCATGTAGGAAAATGTTACTTCCTACAATGTTTGTCTCCAGATTCAGGCTGATTTTGGCATAGTTCATTGTCAATATTATTCTACAACCAACATCTGAAAGGAACAACAACAATGGAGACTATCTCTGTTCCTTGGTTTGGTTTAATCTTGCTGCCAGTTGTGTTATCACAGAATGATGTCAGTATTTGGAAGTGTTTTTATCAATGAAATTACAGAATGGAGTTTCAGTTCAACATTAGAGGTATTCTGCATGGTGAAATCTAGCACTCAGACCATGATGAAGTTGTCTTTTATATTACAATGGCCATTGGCTCTTATTTTTGTAGGTCATTTTCTAAAGAGTGGTGCCACTGTGATTCTATAACATGATGCAGCAAGTCATACTACCTGTTTAAAAGCTGTGAATGCTGATCTACTTGTGAAATGCCAGTTGATTGGGTGGAATGCAGACCCATAGGCTTCAGTGAATTTACATGACATAGCCAATTTACATGACAGGTCCTCTTTAAGGAGACATCAGGGGTCTCCAAGACCCCTAATATCACCTAGGGATTCCCAGAGAAGCTGATGAAGCAGAGATCTGCTTCAGCAACTGCTCCCCAGCTTTTGTAGCAGGGAATGACAGCTGAATGCGGAAGTGATGTAATATACATCTCTTCCTGCATTCGGGACAGAGAAGAGATCAGAGGGAGTTTGTGTACCGAACTCCCTTTGATCTCCTGTCACAGACCAGCCGTGCCAGTCCCGGCTGCACCGAGCACAGCGGATCTAGGGGCTGGCAACGGCAGTGACGCTGGGGGTAAAACCGCACACCGAATACAAGTGATTTGGCGTCTCTAGAGACACCTGGTCGCTTAAATGTAAAGCTACTCGTCCAGCTCCGGTGTCCTCTTATCACATACAGAGGACGAGCGGATTTTTCAAGCCCTGCCTATAGGCTACCAGCAGTTCAAGCAAAAGGTCAGGAACTCACCTTTCCTCATTTAGTTAAAGAAGAAACGCACGCAGCGCAGCAGCCTAGTATAGTGATTACTTTAAATGTATTAGATTGGTAACAGATAACATTTTGCTCCCAAACATCATAAATAAAAGGCTTCCAAAAACTCAGATTGCCGGGTCAGTTGAAATATCTTGAAGCTCTGTGCATGTGGTACATCAAATATTGGCTGGAAAACTAACGTGTTTCGAGGGGGAGTTCTAATAGCCAGTATTTGATACGACACAGACACAGAGCTTTAAGACTCTAGCTGTTTCTGCTGACCCGGGACTCTTACAGCTACAAGTTTTTGGAAACCTTTTATCTATTATGTTTATGGGAAGATTTGTATCTGCTACTAATATAATAAATATAAATATAATCTCTGCACTATGCTGCTGTGTAACAGCTTGTTTACCAATTAAACATCTTTTTTTAGAATAAAGGGTAGTCCCCATATCTAGTGTATTCTCACTTGATTCTTGGTGTGCTTCAGGTATTTTTTTTCTAGATCTGTGCATTAATCCAATGTGAAGCTTTGACTCTGTGCATGAGCTTCCTGTAATAAAGACCCGCCACTGCTTCTATCTTTCCTTATACAGGGTGACTGGTCTTGTCTCCTCCCCTCTCCTGCAGTTAGCACCTGGCAGTCTGTAGTGGATGGGCTTGCTGGCTGTTTCCCACAGGCATTCGATTTGCACATGCTATGTAAATCATAGTGATGATGTCTCCATTACTTTTACAAGGGTTTGCAAAGCCATTTGGTGCACAAAACATGGATTTATATCCTTTGTGGCTATGGAACAGTATATTTAAATACAACTTTTTTTTTAACTTATGCTTATGTTAAATGAACACAATGGGGTTGATTTACTAACCTTATAAACACACCACGAACATGTATACACCTCTGTAGTGTGTTCCCTCCCAGCATGATCTATGGGTGGAATCTAAACACCTTTGTAGTGTGTACACACCCAGCAGGTGTGTTGTGCAAAGCCCTGCATGAATTGCAAGGTGATGTTGTGTAAATTAGCTCTATGTTGTGTTGCTTGCGTTGATGAATGCAGGAATGTAAATGCATGAGCTAACCATTTTTGTCTAAACTGTGAAGCAGCATTATATATGCATCATGTGCATGATTTTTCCATATATGGCATTAGTGGAAATATGCTTTTAGAGACTTTTTGGTTGATAAATACATTTTGCTGTGTGAAAATCACACGCACCTGGTGCGTGCGTGTGTTTAGGTTAGTAAATCACCCCCAATATGTAACAATCATTTGTTTCCTTGATGGTTCTTTTGAGCACACTTAATAGCCAGATGTATCTGCATAATGTGTGTAATTGCCATATGTAAATTTGTAATGAGATATTTAGGGCTGCAACAACTAATCGATTATAATCTATTATTGAAAAAGTTGTCAACTTTTTCAATCATCGATTAATCGGCTTCTGGTTAGTTGGCCCTGTTCACGGCTCCACACACGTTGCACGCCTTGCCTCCTCCCCACCTCACTTTCGCCGCTGCCAGACCCGCGCGCATCCACACGCCACACCTCCCCCCCGCCTCACGCTCACTGCCCTCCCACATCCACGATCGGCACAGGGACGCGGGGAGAAGAAGTATGGAGGAGCAGGTGTGGGGTGATGACAATCGCTGATAGACAGGCCCTATGTCAGAAGCAGGTTTCTGAAAGACTGCTCATGTAAGCCTGCACTCCCCCCCCCCCCCCCCATTTTTTAAAAATGCATTTCATTTTTTAACCGATTAATCGAACTCAATAATCGGCTAACTAATCGATTTTGAAAATAATCGTTAGCTGCAGCTCTAGAGATATTTGGGATTTTGTGGGATTCCCAAAGTATGTAGAGCAGGGTTGACAAATCAATTTGGAATCCAGAAGCCAGCAGGATTTTTATTAGGAGCCATCTCCATTGACAACAACTTTTTGAAACCTCAAAAGTTAGTAATTTTTAAGTAGTATTGGCTACCTGGCTCCTGGGATTTGACCAACCCTATGGTAGAATACAATAGACTTTGCTTCCGTTAGTGTGGGGTGCATAGCTGCTGACATTACATCGGGCTGACTCTCCATGTAACCCTTACTACTGCCCTTTGTGAGTTTAAGGGGGAAGAGGTGGGGTACAACACCAATAGTTCCGACTGTGTGCGTCCTTAGACTTCCAAAGAGGACAACATGGATCACAACCTGGTGCCCCTACGTGGGACAAGGTTGTTATATATAGTGTCAGAACAGTCTGGCTAAACAAGTTCCAGCAAAGAGAACAAGTCTCACTTTTAACATTGGGTGTGTTGATTATTCCATTTGTGGAGATACTCAGGATATGGGCCTTTTAGTGTGGAGATGCTTTGATAATGTGGAGATGTTTATTTGTTAATACAGCATTCCTTAAACTTCTTATCCCTGTGTGGTTTTACTCAATCATTCACTATATCTGTGAAGAGATTACATGGAGGCTGAAGGATTAGTAATTTAAAGATAACATTGATTTTTTTTTACATCTCACAGGAAGTGACAAGGACACTGCATTTCTGGCAACATTAACAGGTATTTTCTGTACTTGCTGAAAATGTTGTAAGCCTAGAAATCGAAAACTAATGTAGTCACCGTATCTAAGGACTAAGTAAGCTGCAGTATGTACATTTTTTGGTTTTGGGTTTTAGTTCTGCTTTAATTTCTTTGAGGCCCATTAGATCATCAAGGGGAAGGTCGCCCAAGAATTGTTACTTTTTTATCAATGTGTGTGTATTTAGATGTAAACAATTCATAAACATGATAAAGCACATATAAGATTAAAGCAATTAAAGTTATGTTAAAGCTGAACTCTGATTATGTTACTCTGTGGCATGATCAGCAGTAGTAAAATTTTAAGTATAGGAAATATATACAAGGGGCATGGCTTAGCATTCCAAAGGGTATGTGTCCCTCTCTCGTCCAACAGTGTCTTAGTAACCAGTGACGCTGTGGGGCGACAGTGTCCTAGTAACCAATGATGCTGTGGTCCAACAACATCCTAGCAACCAAGAACACTATGGGCACAGCATCCTAACAGCTAATGACACTAAGTGGCCTACAATCGTCTACCAAACAGTGATGGAGGGGGCCACTTGATTAAAATGACTTAATTACTTCCAGTTTACTCCACAAAGGCGGTATTTGTTAATGAATATGTGCACCCATAGAGACATATTAGAACTTTGTGGACTTGTCACATGTCATTATTAATTATGGAACTGCCACAACCTTTTTTGGAATTGGCAAAGGAGTTTTTGATACAGCCATAAAGCCAGAATTGTGCCGCAAAGCCTTTATTGAATTGCCCCTTGATATGTTGGTAGACCCAAACTGGCTTTAAACCAGGACTCATGATTAGAAGATATTCATGCCCATAGCCCTATCATCTTTGTTGTTTAATTTTTTATTTGAACAAGTAAAATGAAGGGGACGATACATCACATGTATCATCGTGAACATCAAAGGCTCTCCTATAGACATGGCAACACAATAATTACTTATACCGTATATTTTGAAACAACATGGAAAAGGTATGTGGGATATGCCATTATAAACCTGCTACATTGTGTAGCTGTATTTCAGGGAGATGACAGTCTGCGTGTTTATATTGTCCAGGATACTTCAAAGCACAATATTCAAATGACCCAATACTGTATGTACATTGGTTGTAAACTCTTATGTCTTTGCAACGTTGAAAGCAAACTCTCTTTTTTTCATTACAGGTGGCAAAAGTAGAATATGTAAGAAAAAAACCCAAATTAAAAGAAGTTCTGGTGAGATTAGAGGAGCACCTTGAATGCACTTGTACAAATTCTAATTCAGATTATCGGGAAGAAGAAACTGGTAAGAACATTTGAATTCTCTTACACTGAGTTGTCAATTTAGTGCTGTCAGAGTAGGACCACAGTTACAGTGCACACTGCGCTGTGCACTAAAGATTTCTTCAATGAGAGAAAGAGCAGAATTAATGTCAGCAATCCATTCCAGTGAATCAGAAATCTTCTTTGATACATCTGGTTGCTTTGGATTACTGCACTTTGTTTTTTACACTAGTCTACGGAGTGTGTGCAAATGTACCAAATGCAGCAAATGCAAGTAAATTAGCTGTATTTACTTTGTGCTAAAAGTGCTAAAATGGCTTTCTAATACCCAAGATTTATGTTTTGGCTACTTCTGTGACTGACTAAATATTTGACCCTAAAAGGGGGTTGTTGCTCAATTTATTTCATTTTTGCCAGGGTTTATGTTAAGATTCTGTATAGATAACCATGTTGGCCTGAAGTAGGCTCCTCTAAAGTTAGCCTTTAATGGAATGGTTGAACTCACTGCTAAAATTTGCCTTTCTGAAGTTCAGGCAGGCAAATATCTGATGGTATTTTCTGTCCCCAGATGATGCAGCAAAGGCATAAACACGGCACAACTGAGTCAAAGAAAACATTTGTGCCTGCTGGTTGACTTGTAGCAAGCTACTTTGGGCTTGATTACCAATCCTTGGATCTGCAACTCTATCAGAGGCTTGAATGATCATGCACAGTTTGCTAAGCTCTGCCTACTGCTTTCTCATTCAATGTTAGGCTTTCATACTGAGAGATTGATCACACGTTCACATGGACTGACATGATTTTTACAGCACATTTTTAATGCATTGCAGCACAATATTGCCTACTGCTGTCTCATTTAGTGTCAGGCTGTCTTACAGTGGGCTCTTACAAACATTACCGTGCGCTGCCTCTTTTGTTTTACATCCCTGCAACATGTTGTGGTGCATTAATGCCTTTTTTGTGTCACTTGTTCATTGCCTTTCATGTGTTGCAATGTGCTGTGCTTCAATGCAATATGTTTATTTTTTTTTCCAGTTCACAGCACTACAGGGTATTGGTGTGTGAAATGGCACCACTTAAAACTAGGCTACTAGCCTTGTTCTTGCATTGGGATTACGTTGAGCAATGCAGCTCAATGCAGGTGGTGTTATAGAGCCCTGACCCTTCTTAATACAAAAAGGGACATTGACAACTACCTCAAACTTGAGAAAAGCCTGTTCATATCAACAGGTGGAGTGTACTTCTGGAGCTAAGGCAGAGGAGTCCTCTACTGGGCAACATTATTGTCATTAAGAGCCTTCCTCACCCACATAACAATGCTTTACTTTCCATTAGAAGTGTCTAACCAGCCTTTCTCAATCTTTTTTTTCCTTGAGGAACCCTTGAAATAATTGTCAGATCTCATGGATCCCCTGCTAGAAATCACTATATCTACAGCTCACACTCATTATTTTACAACACTCCCCTACTCTACACAGCAATGATTTTCGGTGATGAAATAAAACATAGTTTTGGCCAGAAAAGAAAGTTATGTCCCCTTATACTAGTGGTCTATGGAGATATGTCCCCTTACATTGATGATTAGTTTAGTGCCCCCTTAGATTAGTAGTTAGTTAAGTGCCTTCTTACATTAGTAGTCAGTGGGCAAGTGCCCTCTTACAGCAATGGTACCGACAAAGTGTTCCCTTACATAGAAGGTTATTGAAAAAGTGTCCCTTAATTGGTAGTCACTGTAGGTGGAAAATCAATTTACCACTGCTCAAGGAATCCCTGATAACCTGATAAAGAAACCCTATTTTTCCACGGAAACCCTTGTTCAAGCCTTAGTATGTATTTGACTGACAATACATGGGGTTTTCACACTATGTCCACAGTGTCATCATGCTTTGGCCACCCTCCCTGGGTTTGTGTGAACCATGGAGGTTCTTTACAGATGTTGAAGGAATTGTATACTTTCTAGCCTAGAAAAATGTACATAAACATTTTCATAAAAATTCAATCATAACTCTTAATAAATATACAGTGCATAATCATTTTTAATATGATTAAATCTTGGAAAGATTGGAGAATTGTGTGGAACAAAATAGAAATGCTTCCTTCTAAATGACTACAATCGTATTTTGAGTTTATCTGTATACATTCAGTATTGGTACGCAATAGTCTTTCCAATACCGTACCTGGGTTTGTCAAGGTAATTTATTTAAGAAACACTGATTGTGATCGTCATTCAGGCTGCTGCGGTGGAAATCTCCACTCAGTGCTGTTAATATTTGCATTCCAACAGCTGCCAATCCGAGGTGTCCTTTAAAATACATTATGCATATTTGTTAGGGGCCTCACACTGTATTTTAAATTTAAAGTGATCTGCCTCCTGTGTACTTTATGTATCTGTTTCTTGTCCACGGAAAGATAGCCAATGTTAAGCCATTTTCAGACAACAGGCCACCGGGAAAGGGGAGGGATGGGGCACTCACACGGATGCATGACTACTAGACTGAGGCTTTTGCTTCATTTTTTCTTTTTTTGAGAGCTGGGCAGCTGCTTTATGTTTCCTTACAAACGCTCAAAAACTATACAAACAAATGTTCTTCAGCTTAATGACCAGCAACAGCCAAACTGTATTTATTTTTTTCCATCTGTGTTCCTATTGGTGAGATCATTCCCATGCTTCAACACAAGTGATGATGGGATATCACTTCAACAGAGAAATAGACAAAACCAAAAACATTTTTAGTAGAATGAGCAACCCAGGGTTAGAACTTCTGACAGTGTTTTATTGCTGTCCATGGTTTCATTTCCAGGTGACTTCTACACCCTCATTTCCTGCACAAAGGTCACAGGGACAGGAGGGAAGGGAAACTCTTCCCAATGGTGTCACAGAGGAATTACCCAAATTTCAAATTATCCCCACTTTGTGCAAAACTTACAAGATCTATCTATCTATCTATCTATCTATCTATCTATCTATCTATCTATCTATCTATCTATCTATCTATCTATCTATCTATCTATCTATCCATCTATTTATATATACAGTCCAGAGGAGGAGGCACTCATGGGTCTTGGAATGAGGCTACATTCATACATTTATTGGTCAATGTTTTGACAAGTCTTGAGAAAGACAAGCAGTGCCTTGCCAAAATCTTGACCAATAAATCTATCTATGTTGCCCCATCACAAGACCTGTGAGTGCCTCTCCTATTCCACCATTTGTGTTTAATTGCCTTGAGTGCACCCAGGCAGCTTTTACTCTTATCTGAGTGCAGTGCCCAATGTTATCATTTCTTAAGGCCACACTTTTAAGCATATTTTGACTGCATTTTTTTGTATGACTCTTTAAAGTGACCCTGTCTTTCTTTTTACACTTTCCAGACCGACCATATAAAAATTTTATTAAATTAACATGTATTGATGATGCCGTTCAATCTATTTTCATATTATCAGTAAAGGAAGCTGCAGTTTTTTTTCAATCTTTCTCACAGGTTGAAGAAAACTTTTGCACCCTTACTGAAAAAAGGGGAAACAGATTTGCATATTAAAGGCACTATCAGCAAGTGCTAGTTTCATACATTTTATCCATATGTTCAGCCTGGAAAAAGTGTAAGTGGTGACAGGGTGCCTTTAAACTATTTTGTTTAAAACATTAGTGTCTGTGATCAAATCAGACTAGCTCAACAGTTTGTTTTAGGAAATTGCCTTTTTAAAAGACATATTTTCTTGTTACTGAATAAAATATGTTTCCTTGGGCCTTTTTACCAGCCCTGCCCTTGTGTTAACAGGAAGGCCTAGGGAAACAGGTAAAAAACGGAAGCGAAAAAAACTAAAGCCTACTTAATACCCAGCTGGAAATAATTTTCCTTGGCAGGTAGGAACTCAGAGCTGAAAAATAACCACCAGCAACAGTGAAAGATAAAAAAAAACTTCCCCAAGCTTTTAAGCAACTGTTTATCACGTCAACACAATCACTTGTTAACATCTTGACACTGTTACCTTAGGCTTCAAACAGATTATATATGATTGGCTTTGATAATTCTACCTGCTGGAATTTTTTTTTTCTTCAAGCTACACATCACCATGAGCATCTTGCATTCCTTGGCTGTCTCTCTATCTCACCTCTTGTGTGTATTTGGTTTTTTTAAAATCCTTGCGCTTAAGCTTAACTGATCTGGAATGTGGCTCTTTCTTTGCGGATGATTTTTTGGGGGCTCACAGTGCATGAACGGTTTGTTTTGCAGGAAATAATGTGATAGCTTGTAAATGGTAACTGGAAAAATATTCAGCTTTGTCAATCCACAAAATATTTACTTACGCAACGTTCAGTTTTATGAAATGAAGAAATATCTATTTGTTACAAACAACAATGCATTTCTTTTTTTTTTTTCTTAAATTTAAAAATGTTCAGAAATTTTGCAGAACTTGGCAAAGCTAAAGACATTTGATAAAGCAGTAACAATGTGGCTTCCAAAAACAAAACTGCCAGCTACAGATCTATGAGTACAACTGATACATGTCTTGCAGTGTATATTGTAACAAACATTAAACATTTTCTGGACGCTAAGTGTAGATACTGCGAGAAGACATTTTATTGCATTTCCGGGAATCTTTCAGAACGAGTCAAAAGTGGGAGGGTTTGCCTTTTTACCAGTTCATGTATTGCCATAAGAAACACTTAAAAAAACAATTATTAGATCAATGGAGCTTTTTAGGTCCCAGAATAAAATAATTTGTGTCTACAAACCTTATTTTATTAAGATATTTAAAAACAGTTATTAAAACAAACGCATGACATCATTGGAATGTGGCTCATCCAAATTACATATAATGCTCTTAACTGCTTTAAAAGTGGCAAAATACCTCCCTAGGCCACATAGAATATACTGTACTTTCAAGGAAATTAACTTGAGAGTAATAATTGTGTTTTTTTCCGCAATCCAGGGGGTGTGGTGCCACTGCACTTATTGGTTCACTATATATACTTTTTGCACTCCACTACTGGACCAACAGTCTTCCTGGAGTCAACAGTCTTTGATGAGTACCTCATCAAACATTAAACTCCCAGTACACTAAATGTAAGGGAGGTTGTCACTTCACAGTCCTTTGGAGCAGGTAGTATGGGAGGCTCTTTAAAATTCTCTCTACAAACTGAATGTTGTTACTTTGGTAACAAGAAATAATACTTTGGCATTATCAAGAATCATGGGTGGTCACAGATTAAAATAGATATTCTTAACATCAAATTACTAAATATAGGTGGTGGGGGCCATTTATATGTTATGTTGGTTTTTAATGAATCTGGAGCCTAACGTTTAAAGTGGAATTAGATGAATGGCTGGGTACAGATGGGATCCAAAAAAATGGCTTCGGTGCAAATTTAGATAAACAGACTTATCAGGTGCTTGTCGTTTTCATGCCTCTACTTCCCCAGTTACTTCCCTAGTATCATGGTTGACCTGACTGCTAAAAGTTTTAAATAGGTATGCCGTCATGTGTACCAGGCCTTGCACAGTTTATGTTATCTTTCTTTTTCTCTTTCGGCTTGTGGGAAGTCTGGGTAAATTTTGAAATAGAACATGTGTGATTTCTATTACTTAACCTTGCCTTGTAGTAGCAGATTGGGTCTATCATAACAGAATCTGACACTTTGTTGTATGTACAGTATATGAGCTCCTTTAGCTTACTTGAACAATGATTCTCTAAATTTTACATGTACCGGGGCTGAACTAATTCTAAACGTCTTATTGGGTCTAGTTTTCCAGGGCACTGCAGTTGTAAATTGAAAGACTTTTCTTCTTTGGCCCTGTGAAATTGCCTGCTGGCTACTACATTGGATCAATTGGCTTTGGAATTCAACAGAAACATGTTCACAGCTGTTACAAACCTAATTCTGCATGAGCATTGCAGTTCTAAATTTACTTGCCCACATGTTAATAATTTAACACATGGCTAGTTAATATTCTTTAGGGTAAAGAACAAGTGACATGGGGAGTCCAGGTGTATGAGCATTATACTGTATATGTGTTTCTTATTGGACTCAAAGCATAATGATTTGGTTTGTTTCATCAAAATGATTGTTCTGAATGAATTGTTATACATTAGGTGTAAAGACATACTGTTACTAGGTTTGGGAATTTCCCTGTGTTTTGATGGACTTTTTCTTAGCTATGCTTTCCCAGGTACACATTTGCCTAGGAACAAAGACTTGAGATGTGTGTGTTTTTGGGCTTCATTTGGCCATTCAGCTTTTGTATATCCTTGTATAGTAGCGGAACGGACTGCTCAAAGCATGCACCGCTCCATGTTTTGCCTTACAAATCTCTTAATGAATGCTTTTTTTGTTGCTAAACGTTCAAATATTTGTTTAAGAAAAAAAGAAGAGGTTTCCAGTCAGATGCATGTGGAAATAGATTGTACTATCAAACTGAGCTTGGTGTGGTATCTGAATGGGTGAAAATACTTTTTTTTTCATTCTAAATCCCTTGATCTTGATTCTAATGAAGCCTGAAGGAATGACAAGGAAGTCTAAATTAAATATGGATTTACATTTAGTCATGTGGTAAAGTGGGAATCTGACTGTTGAGCTGAAGAAAGATTTGTTGTGGTTGGCAACTATCTGTAAAAGTTTAGCGCTAATCCAGAGTGTTTCTGGGATTTTATCGTTTCTAGACATCACTGTCACTAGAAATGGCAAAATCATTAACCCCACAGTGCATATACTTTATTATGAGTTTGTGTATACTTTATAGAACTGATGGCAGGCCTTGGGACAGACTTGGAATATAGTGGTGGGGATTTTCTAGTTGCCCCGGGAACATTTAACACTTCAAAATTCCAATGTATGGGCTCCTGTTTGTGGCCATACACTGTTTTCTTTCTCAACCTGATACAACTACCACACAACTAAATGGACCAGAAATAATAATGTGTTAAAGGCTGTGATTCCCAACTTAAAGGGTAATTCCACTTCCCCTCCTCTACTGCCGCTGTAATATCCGTACTCCATATACTTGATTACAGCCCTGCCAGATGTGTTTCAAATTTTCACTCACAGATGGAAAAAACTCATTGGTCAGTGCGGTCAGAAGCGCTTCTCCTTTGTCAGCGTGCTGACCAATGAGTGCTCACCATTTGCGAGCGAAATTTGAAATACCTACTGCAGGACTGCAATCCCATGTGTGGAGTGAGGATAATGCACTGGCATCAGAGGAGGGGAAGGAGTGATCGTTGACAGGTAAGAGTAGTAAAAGTAGGTGGGATAGGGGGACAGATTGGTGGGGGCAATTCCATTTTCCCAAATTTGCCTGGGAAAATGGAACTACCCTTTAAGTTAACTTTAACTCACTGCAGTAGAAAATGCTTATAGAAAATGCCAGCTTTACTTTAAGAGGTACAAAAAGTCAGCTGAATTTAACATAATCAGAAAAAAAACAAAAATTCAAACCACTGTTAAGTGATACTAAAATCCCTTTTTTCAATGTAAACATATGTTTAGAGTCACAATGAATGAAACAACGGAGCCTTTTAAAGATGAAAAGCAGGATATATATTTTGTGGACTAGCTGAATATGTTTTCAATTTACATAACCTTTCTTTTCTATGGTGTAAAATATATTTGTATTGTAATAGATGTTTTCTTCTTATTTACAGACGTGAGGTGAAAATAAGCTAGAAGGAATCATCTGGGACTTGGATGTAGACACTTTGTTACATTCCTGAATCTTCTACGTATGGTGCTTTTATAGACTTTTTTTTTGTTTCTCTTTTTTTGTTTCCTTGTGTGGAAAGACAGGATTAGAAAAAAAAACAAAAAATAAGAAACTAAAAAGGTTCAAAGGACACTTCATGAGAACAAAAGAACAATGTACATTTGTTTATTGTGACATCAAAGCAAGTATTGTAGCATTCTTACACAGAAGAGACACTTCCCCTTGTCAGAAAACTGCGGCAATTAAACAAAATGGCAGATTGGTTGAAAATAAGAATATGTTAAAAAACAAATGATATAAAACTGACTAAGTGAATACACACCTAATATGAAAGCAGCTGTGCTTTATGTCAAGCGATGTGCCTGCTAACACTGATGAAGATGGATGGTCATTGACAGACTAGTGACAATGAAAAGACCAGGAATGTATCTATCGAACTTGTCTACACAGAGACTTGCGACACAATAAATCCTTGCTTTGTGATGTTTAAAACAAAAACCTGGGAAGCCTTAAAAGGACTTTTTTTTGTTTTGTTATTTTACTCCGTAGAGTAATTATTATTACATTGTGGGGGTAATTTAATTAATACAGCACAGTCATGGCACTAAGGCTAAGTTCACATGGGCTTGGATGCACAAACGCATCCAGCATCTGCATGTTTTTGGTGGTGTTCCGTCCGGCTATCAGATGCTCTTCAGAGGGCCCACTGGGGGAGCAAAGAAAATCTATAGCCTGCAGCAACTGGTGCAAGCAAGTTGTTGCAGGGAAACTTCTGGGCAATGCAATTTAACACAAAGCAAAGCCAGTTTTTTGAACACTGGTATATACTGAGCAGTTTGGCTCAATATACCCTTCTGCCCAGGAAGTCAGGGAGCTTTTCAGAAGGGATAAGAATAGTACACCAAGCACCCTCCTAAAGCCCTTGTGAACAAGGCCTGAGATATCACTTGCTTCAAATTTGGTCTGTTGTTCTTTGTGATCACCATTGGTCATTTTGTAGCAGTGATCTTCCTAGTGTTGACTTTTGTGTGTGTGTGCGCGTGAATGTGTGCGCGTGAACGTGTGCGTGTTTCTGTATTCAATCCTGCCTGACGAAAATTAGAAAATAAAATATGTATATTTGATATATAGATATATATATGTATTTTATTTAATTACATTCAGTTTACCAAGCTAATTGGATTGGAAAAGCACTATGTAATGCTTCTAATATAGCCCTTGGGTCAAGAAACAGGTTTTTCAGGCACCTGATGTGTATACAACGAATGCAGCCATCTTGTGGGCTCAACCAGTGTTCCAGAGGAAGCAGCTTTAGAAATCCACAGAAAACTATCAAGAGTGCTAACTTACCATTTGCAAAAATAAATTCACACAAAATGCTACCACTATGTGGAGGCAACAGGTACTCTGTAAGAATTTTTGTTTTAATCAGTATTTGTTTGTGGGGTCTCTGTGTTAAGACAGTTTTTAGTGTTTTTAAGTAAAAAGAAAAAAAAACAGTACATGATGGCATAAAGGTTTTTTTGTAGCTTTGTTTCCTTTATACACAACCCCCAAACTGTCTCAAATGTATGTTAAGAGGACCTGCCACGTGCACATAAATTTAACTATATTTTATTCGCTAATCTTTTAAATTGTTTCAAATGATTTCTGCTCCAGTAAGCTGCTGCAATAAATTATCATCATTTATTTTACCTGCCTTTGTTGTATGTAGGTAATTCCCAGGTCAGCTTTGTAGGTGAGTCGCCATATTCATTGATAGGGTGAGTGTTGGCTTGATCGAGCAACCTGAAACTCTCTATACCTTCATTACAAGAGAACTGTACATATACATATGCAACACTGTTCGACAGGCCACTCATTTAAACAGTACCTACGCTACAGATCTACATGGAGTCTGCAAAGCCAAGAATAATGAGAAAAAAAAACTAAATACATTAGTGAATGGATAATAAAAATGATTGACTTAAAAACCCAAAAATTGAATGCCGAAATGTGTTTGCCATTTTTTTTTACTGGGCTAATGTTTTAAATTGTTTGGGATATTAGCTCTTTGGAGACCTGTATTTACCTGTACAGCATGCTGTTTCTGGTCTCTTCCAACATGCCAGTGAATTGAGCGGGCCTTTAGTATGATGGCCTTTGTGATCTTTTGCAGGAGTCCTTATCAAGAAGCTTAAGTTGGCAAATGTAAACTAACAGCAAGTGGTTACCATGAGTAGGTCTTTTATAGAAGTGGTTTTGCAAAAAGATTGCTGGGCACTGGGCCTTCTTTAATTCAGTCAAAGTGAATAGAAGGCCTTTTCCAGCAGTTTGTCTCAAAGGTAAAACATTTACAAAAGAAACCCTTCAAGTAACACATCTTTAAGAATTAACACACCTTTAAAAGGAAAGTACAGCTAAAATGAACGTTTTATAACCGTGTCCTTGCTTTGACATAATTCTTGTGTTTCCTGTTTTGGTTGCTGGTGGAAACAATACGCAGTTCTCCCCCAGTTTTCTGAAAATAAAAATGTCTGTGTGTTTTGTGTGTATGTATATAAAATATATACACATATAAACACATATACATAATAAATATGTATGTATGTACATATATATTTACATTAAAAAATATAAATATATATATATTATGAAAAATGTTTACTGTTTAAATATACCATTTGATCCTTCTGATCTGGCTTATTTTTAATAAACGAGTCATTACAGAAAAATGAAAAACCGCTATGACTTTATAGCCTTTTAATATTTCCTCTAGCAGGATGTAAGCTAAATGAACCATATACAAATGATAAGAAGAGAAAAGGTATATTTAGTCCATACGTCCTGAAATTATGTTTCCAGTGTGTCTGCATAATTTAAGATTTAAATAAAATACTCTATATTAATAAATCATGGGATATCTGTGCAACGTCAAGCTTGTGCCAGTTGCCTAATAATACTGCTAATATTTTTTTTATTTCTCTATTTTTTTTTTTTTCATTATGCAGTTTTGGTTCATACACAACAAACATTTCAGGTTGTGAAATGGACCTTTTTATTTTTGTAAGTGCATTGTACAGTGTCAAGGTAGCAAGAAAAAAAAATATTTGCTACATGTATTTGAACAAATTCTAAATTCTTTATTTTTGGTAAAAAAAAATGTATGCTTATGTGTATTCAACAGAAATGTGTTATCTTTTTTTGTAAAGTTGAAGTTTGTATTTTTATCTAAAATTAACATTTTTATATGAGTACGAAAAGCCTACTATGTTTTCTTGAACCAAAAAATATGCATTGTGTGGTCATATTTTTGTAGCACCATATCATACAAATATTTAACTCTGTTGCAAATATGTGTCGTAGCACTTGGTTTGTGATATCCTATGTTGTTCTGCTGCTGTATGCAAAACTGATAATCTAAATATTATTCCCCGTGGGTCAATTTGTGGTAAGAGATTTATTTAAGGGACTACCTTGTTAGTTGGCCTTTCATTATGTATATTTAAATGTGTTCATTTTTTTATGAGCTTTTCCATTTCACAAAAGGGCTTCTAAATTTAGCTTCAGATTTCTGCTGACCCTATGAGTACTGTCGCTTTGTGCAACATGTAGGTGCCTCCACCCAACCATTTCTATGGTTGACTCTCCTCCGCCTTCTTGGTGTTTTATGACTGTCTGTTTCTCCTGCCTACTGATGTAACTGAGAAGAAGACAAACTTTCAGGAGCTAAGTCAATATGGCTGTAGAAGCTTTTGTCTAGTGGCAACAAAAATATTCCAAGTAGCAATATGGTTATGTACAGGTAAAATTCAACATTTAAAGGGTGATGTAGATGGCTCAGAATTGTATTTTACTTGTCTTTCCCAAAATTACAAAATAAATTATGCTCTCTGCTGATTGGAGAACTCTAGTTGTGACTCCGCAGGGGGGATATCTGGCCTCTGCAGGGAGACCACTGCTTCCCGGCAAAAAGCAAGGGTCTTTCTTTACAGCACACCTCTTTGTTTTGATGCACCTGGAATGTATTTAGCTAATTTGAATTGAAAGTTTGAAATTTAGTTGGGCTTTAAAAGTATTTTACTTTATTCACCCTAAGGACTGTTGTTTATCGGTGTTTGCTTCCTGGCTGCACTGTGGAGTTAAGTACTTTTGTGTCACAGACCCAAAACAAGTATGCAGTAAATTAACTCTTTATCTCCTTAGTCATTTGATATCACTGATCAGGGTTGTAGCTAACATGGGCCGAGTGAGGCACTCGCCTCAGGCGCAGCTGAGAGGGTCACGGCCAGGGCCAGCCTGGCTGCGGCCCCCTTGCCCCTGTTGCCATGGCGAGCACAGGGCACCATTGGCAACAGGGGCGCCAGGCGGCCAACACTGCCGCGGTTCGGCAGGGAAAAGAGGAGCGGATCTCCTCGGATCGCCGCTGCTCTCCCCCACCTGTATAGGCAGAGGACTCTATGTCCTCAATCTCTTTTTCTATTTCAAAAGGGAAATGTCAGGGGTCGGTTTAGACCCCTGATATTTCCCCGATGCCCCCAAAAAGTAAAAAAAATAAATAAATGTAAAAAAACCCACACATTAATGCACACATTTTACTAGACATGTGCAAAGACTAAAAATTTGTTTCGGACGAAACGAACGGAAACAAAATATGTTTTCATTAGTTTCGTCAAATGAAACAAATTTTTATGCTATTTTGGATTTGGCCACCAGCGCATTCTGCACATGCGTGCCACCATCCTGGAGGTGTGGTGCATGATGTCACATACCGCACACGTTTGTTGGAGGGCACCATTTTCTGTTCTTGCCTCGGGCACAAAAGGAACTAGCTACGGCTCTGTTACTGATACAGAAGGGGATCAGCGACAGCGCTGCAACTAACATTTTTCAGGTGGAAGTCAACAACGTCAGCCTATGTATATTTTTTTAGGTCCGGTTTCCCTTATGTTTACCCTTGTAATGTGTCCTACTTACATATATATATAAATAGGACACAAGTTATATGTCTTCAAATAGAAGATAACATATATAAAAGTTATGGTTACCCTTTGAATTTATCTAAAATGTTTTATGCAAAGAAATCTGAAATTAATTTGTGGAAGTAG